GTAACATCTTTGGTAGTGGTAGTCCGGTTTGCCTCATTTTGTTAATGTGCTGTGAAAGATCAAAAATTTGATTATGTAGTGTATATGATACAAAATTGTGAATTGGTGAGACTTAAGTAACACATTGTCAGCATTTGAAGATACTGGTACTTAATCCTCTTACAGAAAATTTGCCTCTAAATTTGAAGCTGGAAAGTCACTGGAACAACTGAAAAACAATATATGGCTTTTTTTTTGGTATGTGTGTTAAGAATTGTGTACAAAGTGAATCATGTGTACTGATTCTCAACACAACCAATAAAATCTCAAATATTGAAGATAAAAAAAAAGACATAAGCATGTACAATTGCTTGGAATATATCTTTTTATACCATAAATTGTGTTATTTATATGCATTTTATTAGTGTTGTTTTATAATTACAAAAATATTGCTGGCTGTACTTCTGTAATCCCAGATGGGTACTTAACTGCTCACCTTCCTTAGCAAACAAACCCAAGAGAACCCATATGAAAGGGGAAAAAGTATGTTGACTCACAGTTTCAGAGGGTCAGTCCATGTTCACTTGTCTCCATAGCTATGGGATTTTACGGAGGCAGAACTCATTTGAGTAGGACCATGGGGCACAGCAAAACTATGTGGAAGAGAAAGAGAAGGAGAAATGAGGAGGAGGAGGAGGAGGAGGAGGAGGAGGAGAAAAAAGAGGAGGAGGGGGAGGAGAGCAAAGAAAGATGGTGTAGGAGATAGAATGAGAAAGAGGAGGAGGAGAAATTGGAAGACGAGTAGGAGAGAAAAGGTGAAAATAAGATATAATCCCCAAGGCCACATCTCATGACCTGATCTCTCAAAGGAGGGCAAGATTTCTAATATCCCATTCAGCTAAGACCACATCAAAGGTGAGCTTGTTGAAGACATTGCTGATCACACGATCCAGTCACCATTCCAGGGCCCATGTCTGACAAATGTGAGGTTTAGGAGATATTGCAACTCTGGAATATAACAGCAGAAGATTTGCAGCCTGTTCTTATTCAGTTTCAAATCCTGCAGTCCATTTTTTTAAATCAGGGATCAAACTAAGGATGTTGTGATTCCACACAAGTACCTGTGCTACTGAAATATCTCCCTGACTCTGAAGCCCAATCTTTACTGTACTAGGTTGTGCTGATTTGAACTCTGCTTCTATCTCCTATTTGGACATAGGTTTTGTCCTATTGGCAACCCCTTATAGCCCAGGTCAAATCCAACTGTAATGATGCATTTTGGAAATAGAAAATACTATTTCCTTTGCAGGAGCAGCTAAGAATTTCAAGTTATATAGAGACAAAATGTAACAGGAAGGCCTGATCCCATGCTGTGAGGAGGTGATGATCCCTAGAGGCTTACAGGATGGGCACACTCTGCATACTTCCTGATTTACAGACTAGGGAGGGTATTGAAGAGAGATCTTGTACAGGATGATCCTGAGGCTGAGCCTCTGTGTTCTTCTTGCAGAGTAATACGTGGCTGTGTCAACAGGGTCCACACTGCTCATCGTGAGGAACACCTGGTTGTTGGAGGTGTCCTTGGAGATGGAGAGCCGGCTCTTCAGGGCTGGGCTGTAGTATTCATCATCATCCCAATAAATGATTGCCAGCCACTCCAGGCCCTTCCCTGGGGGCTGACAGATCCAGTTTACACCTATACCATATGTGCTCAGTGAGAAGCCAGAGAAGGAGCAGGTCAGCCTGAGAGTCTCAGTTGGTCGCAGAATCCCAGGACCAGATTCCTTCAGGGTGATCTGGGATATGACCCCTGTGGAGAAACACAGAAGAAATTTAAATTAGTTCAGGAGAAGACAAGAGCCTTTGGATCCCTGAGACCCTGTCTCATAAAGGCCTCACAAGGCCCAGGCACTCACATGCAGGGACTGTAAGCACCAGCAGCAGAAAGGAAAAGAGCCTGTCCATGGTGACACAGGAGTCCTGAGCCAGACCCTGCTGGGTTTTTCAACCCAGCAGTAGAGGAGCTCAAAGAGATTTGCATTTATTCCCCAGGTTCTGACCCTGATGGGAGGACTCAGAGCTGAGAACACACAGGGAGCCAAGCTGTGATGGACAGCACCTGAGCCTCTTTTGCTTCCGCATCTGCACCTTTGAGGGGTCCTAGCCACTTAGGACCAGGCTGTCAGATGCAAAGCTTCCAGCGATGCCTGTGCTTGCAGAAAGTCAAGTCAGACATGCTCCCTTTGCTGCAGACAGGGTTGTCCCTGTTCTTGCTGTCCTGGAGGATGGAAGTAGAGCAGGGCAGATGATCCACCTTCTGTGATACTACTGTGTGCCTGGGGATAGAGAGTGGCTATTCCTGCATATTACTTCCTGTCCTTTTCATGACAGAGAGAGAGAAAAAACTACATTACCATAAGAGAGGTTCAGTAGACTGCTTAATTTCATTTCCTAATGGCACAGCTGCCTGTTCCTCAGTGTCTCCACATGTGTGTCCTGCCTCAGGGACAGTTCACAGATAACTGACTTTATTCTCAAGCCCAGTAATGCCTGAGAAGACACAGGGCTTCACATCTGATTTCCATCTGTTCCTCCTTGGACTGTACTAGCTGAGGTGCACTCCAAGGCTCACCTGGCTCACAGAAAACTTTCCCTGAAGCCTTTCTGTGCTGTACACTTGTCAACTTCCTAGGATGCAGGTCTTGGGGACCTCTTCCTCAATTGGCACTAGTCATAACAGAAATGGTGGACACAGTGGACATTCCTTGAACATCACAAAGATAATGAGCCCTCAAATCTATTTATCCTCTGCTCCATGATTATGTGGAATATATTTATTTTCTCTGATTCTGTGTTATGTTGCTTTTCTACATTGTACTGTCATTGTGTAACTGTGCTTTTGCTATTGATATCTTGTATACAGTCTTCTCTGTTCTGAAAGCTTTCTTTGTCAAAACACAAAGAATGAATAAGGTCAGGGCTATCAGATTACAGTGCTTGACCAGTATTCTTGGATTCAGAGAAGTGCCTGTGAGAAGCAGAGTAGGGTAAAAGCAGGCAAATCAGGGGCAAGAGCAGCAACTCTGAGTGTCTACACAGCTGCTTCAGAGATGCTTGGCTCTCATGGAAGCAGCTTGTTCTTAGATCCATTTATGTTTGATGACCTTGAAGAGTGTCATTTGGGCCTAAGTTTTACCAAAATATGAATTGAATTTATCACACAAATAAAATCATCTAGTTGAACATAAAGAAGAATTTTCTTTCTGGTAACTGCCTTCATTTAGCAAGTTACAATAAATTAATTTATTAAAGCACACTTGCATAGTATACAATTTTTTCTTCTAATCCGAAAATGGTGGTTGGTGAATGCCTCCAGCTTTGTCATCCTCACAAAGTCAGGTATCCCACATGCTTATGTGCACAGAAGATAAAGGTCTTCCATGTAGTCCTGAGTGGCATAAAAGGACTTAAAAAGTCTTAAGTAGTTTTCCCCAGAGTTGGACAAGGTGGAAAACATCTATAATTCCTGATGTCTTCAAGTTTGAGGCAAAACTATCACAATTATCATCAACTGAGGAAATTAGTAAGACCATTCTTAATATTAAAATGCAGGGTGACTGCACTATAGGTCAAGGTGTATGTTCTGGATTCAGTCTCCAGTACTTAAAAAGTTATTTTTCCATTGAATCTGTAAGTGACAGTTCTCTTAGTGCAGAGAAACTGCGTTAGATTTCATCTGCTTCAAACTCTCAGAGCATAGATGAGTGTTATTTTAACACTTAATTCTACATCTTAAAATCTGAGCAGCAGATGTCGGAATCTATTCATTTTTCATTGCCTAAATTTGCTACTGCTGTAGTCACCTCACAATATGGATACAGCAGTGGCTTCTCTAAGTTGTAGAATTCATGGCTGAATATAGAGCTGTCTGAGATAAAAACTTGACGATTTGTTTATATGGAGTTTTGATATAAAAGAACAGTAAAGGCAAGCTACTGAGGCACTGAAGAAAGTTAGAAAATTATTGCATCCTGTTGTGTAAAAGATTATTCTTATAGTTCAAGGACTGTCCAATGAACTGTATTTTATGTTTTATAAATTGTAGATCCTGCAAATAATAAACTTGCATGCTTATATGGTGATACTTCCATGAAAAAGTCTGGGCATTTTTTTTTAAATTCACACCAGGTATGGGTCAATGAAAGCTGATAATTTTCTGTTTTTACAGGATTTCATGTTGTTGATGATGTTGCTCATTTTTTTTTTAGTTTCTTGTGAGCTGGAAATAGGAACAAAAAGTAACTTCAGAAACCAGCTTTAGTCTCTTGAAAGAATGATGCATCTTAAAAACAAGTTGAAAACGCAACTAGATAATGATCCTAATGCCAGAAAGGACACGGGAAATGGTCACAACAGGGTCTGTAGGTCACGTGATCCTGAGACAGAGAGGAAACCTCAAGGAGGACAGGAAGCCCTCACTGTCCAGCCTCCTTCTCTGCAATGGCTCCTGGAGTCCTGCCTGGTGCTCAGTGGATCCTCAGCGCCCCCTGCTGTCCTGAGCAGCCCTGTAGAAAGTTTTTCTGGAGATCACACTGGATCTCTTGTGCAGTAATAAATACAGAGCTGTGCCCTCAAATATCACCGAATTCTGCCACAGGAAGAATGATATTAAGACAGATGGACAGGCTGGTTGTCCTTTATGAGAGGAATTTGAAGCCGTCCTTTGGCCTTTACCACTGAACTCCACGGACTCCATTCCCTTCCCCGAGGATAGACTGATATAGCTGCAGTTGTAAGCACTGCTAATAGAGTAACCAGAGACAACAGGTGAGGGACAGGGATTTCAGTGGCTTCACTAGGTCAGGCCTGATTCTTTTTCCTGGGTACAAACACTTGGAAAAGTGAACACAGTGGGTGTTGGGTTAGACACGGCTTCCCCTTTTCTTCCTTTTTGATTCCTGGAACACTCAGCTCTGGGAACCACCCAGCCAAAGTCAGGGAACCAAGGTTTCTCCATTTGTTTACAGATTAACTTTACAACTGCCTCCAAAGCCTTCAAAATATCTAAATTCCTGAATGTAATCAAATGTTTGCTTTGTGTTAATCGACATACCTGGTAGGGTATATCGAGGTAAGGTGTACACTTGTATAGAAGGCACGAGAGGGAAACAGCTGAGGTTTCCTGGCTGACACTGTTGGTTGTGCCCTTATTGAGCTCTGTTTGTCCTCTTTGTGGTTGTCTTCACCAGGCTTAGTGTCCTCTTGCTCCAGAAGAAGACATGCAGCAGACAGGCTTTCATGTAACTGATAATTCACAAATGAAGAAAGTCTTTTGTCCCAAGGTAACCGCAGCTCAGCTCCCAGCTATTACTGGGACAGAAAAGCACTGGACATTTGTTTACTTACCTATGCACTCAGTCACACAACATGATAGACACCACAGGTAAATACAAATAATGTATATACTGACCTATAGTGAAGGATTCTAATTCAAAATCAATTTTTACTCTAACATATAGTGGGAGTAGTTCAATGATCCAGTATGATTTAGTTGAGAGTAAACCGACTCTTACACTAAGTTTGCCCTAAGTCAGAAAGGTTTCAGTGCCTCATGTGATTTGAAATTAGCATTGTCCCAGAGCAGTGCCTTCACCACCACTGATTCTCAGGCTCTCCATAGAGTGAACCTATATTCACTCTTCCAAGTATTTGCTTTGGATTTAGCATGGTGTAGGTACCTTTGCTGACATGATGCTAGTTCCCAGCCTTGTTGAAGAAGAAATAAGTGGCATAATCTTGACCTTCTGATGGACACCTGAGTGCTCACATGAATGTCTTTGACCTGCGTTCCCAGCTTGCTGGACAACATGCATGACCATCACTTCCTTAGAGCAGGTAACACCCAGTTGGAAACACTCTCTGCTCATTCATACAGTAGGCAGTCTTTCATCTTCTGGATTTCACTGGAATGTCTCAGAAGGGTGGATTACTTAATTTCTTGCCACTACTGGAATATTTTAATTTCAGTGAAATATGTTGTTAACTAGAGGAAGAAAATTCATGATTTCTGACAATCGTCCTGCACAGTCAACAGTTTGCAAAACGAGAAATCCTCACTATGGAAGGAGTGACCATTCTTGTCTTAGAAAATATCTCCTTTATTCAGATGTCTGGGAATGCCTCAGATCACAGAAGCTCACGGTGATGAAGGTTAGCGCCCAGGTCCCGGCCAGTTCTGTGTAAACCCAACAATGTGGGCTCCAATATTTGCACTCTGATCACAAAATTCATGATATTTGGATTGCAGTAGCAACACTAAATAACTTATTTTCTTAGCGTGTGATAATTGTGCATATTAAGAGAGTTCATTGTGGTACTTCATGACAAGCATGCTGTGTGCACAAATGAAACCAGATAATCAGCCTTCCATGTTCTTATCATTTCTGGGCGTGTGAAGGCGTCAAGCTCCTGGCACTTAGATATCTCCAACATATTACAGGAAACTCTGAGTGTACACTGTACAGTGGAGGATGCCTGATGTGTCAGTGTTAATCATTGATGCATGAGATAAAGCTATATTTAAATAGATAAATACTGAAGTCCTGTATATATATATATATATATATATATATATATATATATATGCACGTATGTACTTATGCATGTATGTATGTGTGTATGGATGGATGGATGAAAAGAGAAACACTGGCATAGACCCATAAAGAAAGTAATCATCATTTGACTTTAGGCTCCTGACTCACACTCACTGTGTTTCTTTTATTTATCTATTTGCTACTTACACGTCTGTGAACTCATGTTTCATTACTTAATAGTTGGTAATGGAACCCAGTGCCTTTTTACATATTTCTCTGCTTCAGTCATTCCAGGTTTATTCTTTTTGTTGTGTTCTCCCTTTGATGGACCCACAGTCTATCAGTTGAGCACTTTGATGTGCCCACTCTGTC